TTGCACGAATATCCGAAACAAACAAGCACATAAAATAGATAAATAATTTTGATAATGTATTAGCTAATATTGTTTCTAAACGGTTTTAGAGCTTTTAATCACTTGATATGCATTTCAATGTAAAATAATTTTAAATACAAATATCATAAAGATGAGTTTACCATAACACAGCTGACATTAATGAGAAATTCTAACCCATGAAAAATGTCATGTTTTATTCCCACTTTAAAGTCTTTATTCATGCATCAGACTGTCATATTCAAATTTGGGATTATTAGAAGTGAAATTAATAAATTATTTTTGAAATGAAAAATTTACATTGCAGACTTTAGGCTTTGTTTCAAGTGCTGGAAAAGTATAGGTAACTAGCATATTGGAATGTGAACAAGCCCATACACCTCTATTGTGCAACAAAGCCTTTTCTATTAGTTTAGTTTTATCTTTTCTCTGTCAGTCTACCCTAAGGTTACATAAATAAAATATGTGTGCTTCACGAACAACATACTATTTTTAACATTGTGTTACGACAACGGAAGTCACTCGACGCGGGGAGCATGCGCGCAGCAGTTTCTCGAAGGATCATGAATTTCCCGCCAGCTCGAGTGTAATCTAGATGCCCTCTTTTTTAATATATAAGCCTGGTAGAGAGGCCAGTGATAGGCAGAGAGATAATTGAGTCAAGTGAACAGTAGGCACCGTAAGTAAAGTGTGTGAATCACTGTTATTTATAGTGTGTGTGTTATAAAAGTTGTTAAGTGTATTACAAAATTTTTATTGAGAAGGAATAGACTAGTTTTAATCGAGAAAGGACTTGTATCACTGAAGTTTCTTGGAAAGAATTTCTATGGGAAATTAACAAACAAGCAGATACGTAACAAATTAATGTAAGAGAGTGGGACGGAAACGAAAAAAAAAGATGGAACAAGAGGAGGCAAATCAAACTACAACTTAGCAGATTTGATGGCAGCAATACAAGAACAGCAAAAGAAACAAGAAGAGAGGAAACAGCAGTGGCAAGAAAACCTGCAACAGTGGCAGCTCGAACAGCAAAATAACAAGAGAGATTACAGCAGTTGTTGGAGTAAAAAGAAAGAAACAAGAAGAACGAGAAAAGAAACAAGAAGAGAGACTACAGCAGTGGTTGGAGGAGAAAGAAAATAAACAAGAAGAGAGACTACAGCAGTGATTGGAGGAGAAAAAAATAAACAAGAAGAGAGACTACAGCAGTGGATGGAGTAGAAAGAAAATAAACAAGAAGATAGTCTCCAACAATTGAGAGAAAGCCAGAGTACACAAATGGAAAACATTAGTAAATTTTAAAGCACATTAAATACATTAAAGGATGATTTATTGTCTTTTACACAAGGATACATTAGCCATTGACTTAGTCAGCCCCAGACGATGGCAAGCCCCTTCCAGACCCCACAGCTAAACCCTAATGCAGACATTTT